TTAGATTCCAATTTTCTAATGTTTCGCTGAGCATTGGAATTCCTTCAATTTCCACCAGTTTGGGGCGTTTGATAGCATCCAAACTTTCCATCTCTGATTTGAAGTCCACCCACAATACAGCAGAAACGTTTTTACTGTACTTCTTGGCTACCTCTGCCAGGGCTCTGCTTCCTGTGCCACTGTTGCCACGATGTACAGTGTCAAATTCAGTTCCTTTTTCATCCCTGCTATGGACTTTTCAGGTTTCCTACTGCTCCTCCCTCTTAACAGCTGCCAAAACTGGCATTCAACTTCAATAGATATGGGTGGAGCATGTCCGTTGTGGCAGAATTGAAAATACTTGTATGTTTCAGGTAAATATGTGTAAATTGGGCATCCAGCTTCTATCTGTTTTTCAGCTCAATGGATTACATATAAAATGATTTTGTGCAAAAGTTGCTGATCAGGACTTCTGGTTTCCTCACCAAATGTGTTAACTATGCAAAGCAAAAGTAAGGCATCCAGAAGACCCGAGTGAAAAGTTATGGTACAAACTGTATTTAACCTAAACATACGAATGTAAGCAGTGCTCTGTTGGATCAGACCCCTGGCAACTCTAGCCCAGCAGTCTGTTTTCACAGTGGCAAACCAATTGCACACGGGATCCCATGAGTCTCCCAATAGATCGCCTTTAGACAAAGCTTATAACTATTGGTCTCCCATCGGTATGAAATATATGGTATATAAAATTAAATTTAATGTTGGTTCTTTTTTCGTCAACAATTTTATTTTATTCAAAAGGTTAAAATACACAATCCAAAAGAAAAAGATTAAAGACAAAGCAAAACTAAACTTTGAAAAAAATTGAATTAAAAAAAGGACAAAAATACAAATTATCCTTCCCAGTTAAATGCTGTTTAAATCCATTGCAAAATAATATCTCCCCCTCCGGCAAACAGGTTCAAAATTTATGAGTACATCTATTTGCAACACAATTGACCTGTCATACATTACATATTTGAAAAGAAAATAGTTTACAGGTTAAGCAACAAAGAAGTTAAAGTTCAATGCACTCTGTTAACAGTCTGTAATTGTTATTTATGTATAGAAAGTCCACAGGGTTTTTTTATTTACTACAAGTCGACCAAATCATTATCTTTGAGTCCAAGGTCAAATATCTTTGTTTGGTTCTTCATAATAAAACTTTATCTTGGATTTTTAATTGGGAAAAAAATAATTTTGGTTCTGATCTCTTTCCATTATTTTTTGAAGTATGATAATAGATATGCATTTTTGAGGCCAAATATGATTCTAGGGCCTAGAAATAATCTAACATCGACTTTAATTTATCTCTTGCAGATCCCGCCAACCTTATCTATTTTTCAAACATTTATCCTAGTAATTAAGTCCCAGGAAGTTGTTGTGAGATTGTTAAGGTTAATTGAGTCAACCCTGATTCGTGGTGACTGAAGGAATAAATCCATGCTGGATTTTTTTTTAAATATTTTGGGAGTAGCTTAATTGTATTTTTGTCCCAGGGCTGGGAGCAAATGACTGGTGTCAAATCCTCCAATTGGGTTGTATCTAAGGCAGAACTAGAACTCATGGGCTCATCTTTAATAACTACACAAAATTACTATCCTGCAAAATTCCCAGTACAATAAAAGGAAGAGCTGCAGTGGCACAGTGGTTAGAGTGCAATACTGTAGGCTGCTTCTGCTGACTGTCAGCTGCCTGCAATTTGGCAGTTCAAATCTCATCAGGCTCAAGGTTGACACATTCTTCCATCCTTCCTAGGTGGGTAAAATGAGGACCCAGATTGTTAGAGGTAATATGCTGCCTCTGTAAATGACTTAGAGAGGGCTGTAAAAGCACTGTGAAGCAGTATATACTTATGTCTAAGTGCTATTGCTAGGAGAGCCAGTTTGGTGTAGCAGTTAAAGCACCAGGGTAGAAATTGGGAAACTGAGTTTTAGTTCCACAAGAAGCCAGTTGAATAGCCTTGGGCCAGTCACTTTCTCTCAGCCCTGGGAAGCAGACAATGACAAACTGCTTCTGAAAATCCGCAAGAACTTGTCCAGGCAGCCACCAGGAATTAACACTGACTCAAACACACATACACAAACAAACAAAAACAAAAATCCATACCCCAGCACTTAAAGGGGAAGTGTAAAGTACTCACATGCGCCCGCACCACATGGGCATATGAACTGTGGAGCACAAACAAAGAAACTGAATTAATGTGAATACACATGATGCTTGTTTGTTATTGCATAGGGTTAATTTATTAATGCTCTGAAAATTGTATCTTTAAATTAGCAAGGCAAGCACACTTGCAAATACGGTTTTTGGCTTTCTTGAAAAATAAGGAAAAAAGAATATTTCCTCATTCTGAACACTAATCCAATACACAAAACAATAGAAAAACACGAATGCTTATTTATCCTTCTATTTAGTAGCTCAGACAAAGAGAGATATAAATTACCCCGTATTCTGAAAAATTATGCAATTGCACCTGTTAAGAAATTTTGGAATGAATTGCTCCATAAAAATAATTTGCCAGCTGTGTGAACTTGAACATAAATCTGTAGTTATGCATATTGGATCTTATCTTTCATTTATTATATCCTGTAAATTCCTGGTAGAATGGCGTAAGAAAATAGATATGTACATTCCATAATTAAGCCAGTGGCCATCAGATTCCAAATAATGTCTTTTATTTCTGTCTCACCATTACCTTGTCAAGTTAATCTTGTTCCTCTTCCATAGCACTGCTATTTGTACTTGAGATAAAAGCAAGTAAGGAAGTCAGTAAGTGAAAAGTGAAATTCTAATGAATGCTAACTTCTTCTTGGTACCATTGCAAGAAGATATTTCTTTATTGTGGTGTATGATGGTCTGTTTCAAATTCTCTCTGACTCAAATTTAAGATGCACTTCATGACAGCGCAGGAAAAAATCTCTATAAAAGAAGGTAAAATTCCTCGTTTCCAATCCAATAGTCTCCCTGGAACTAAGTTGAAAGAAAAAGACATGCTTGCTTAAATGTTAATCAAAGGATATTTTGCTAAATTATAGTTCCTCTACTTGTATAAAGTAAAATTAATTCAACTAGCTAGAACCTATTTCTGGAGACCCTTAATGAATGATACAGCATCTTTGAGTCCCCAACTCAGTTGTTTCAGTTGAGTAGTGATTCAGATCTTGGTTTCACTTTTCTTGGATAAACTTGGGCAGAATTGGCATTGGATTTTCATTTTTAGATTGGAAGAGCTTATTTTGCATACATATCGTACAACCTCTGTCTATCCTAGATATTCTAGTTAAATGGGGAGCAAAGAATTCTACTTGCTTCAGTCACATTAGCTACCATAGCTAATGGTACAGAACACTGTTGTATAGAACACTGTTTGCACCCAGGATAGATATGGAAGTTTTCCTAAATAATGCAAAAGATTTCAAACCCTAGGAAAAAGTATGTTTAATTTATTTATTTACTATCACATGTTTAGAGGTATCAGGATTTTTATTTTGAATAAGTATTTGATTAAACGGCAACAACATTTTAGCACCTCTGACATTCAGTACATCTGGAATCACTTCTTAACTGATATAGCAACTGACAATGGAGCTGCGGACTTAAAGGTTGAGAGCCAAGTTGTTCATTTAACATAGGTGAAGGTCCAGGTTAAATGTGTAAATTTAGGATTAAGTTATGTTAATAAGCAAACATTCTTAACTACTCCATCAGTTGGGGTCTGCAGACCTGGAGGAAAGCCAAACACTGAGGCATATGAAAAGAAGAATTATTGTAGACCTGAAGAACAAGAACATTGGAGCACCAGAAAAAGCTTTACCCGTTGGTAAGATCAGACATTGAATGAAGCAGAGGAAAGGCACCAATGGGATGACTGGGATAAAATCAAGAAAGCACAATTTTCTGATGTTATCTTTTCTCTCCACAACCAGAATATGGAGCTACCTTCTAGCCTTGAAGATTTGGACCCCAAATTTGTCACACGTTGCTCACTGATAGAGATCAAAGGCGTTTCTTTGCCCACCACAACTGCAAAACACTGGGATCAGATAAAAAGCTTCAAGGCACGGCCAGATGATCTCCTCATCTGCTCTTACCCCAAAGCAGGTAAATGTCAAGGAGATAAATAGGAAGACCCTGACATCTAAGTGGGGAGAGGGTTTCCCTCCCTCAAAAAGGTACTGGAAGTAAAGGTCTACATGCTGTGCTGCTTAAGTGTTTTATTTAAACATTTAAAGAATTCATTAGTTAAAAGGACCTACAAAAATTGTAATTGGACCTTTTTTATTCTTGGGCTTACAAAACAACTGATACTAGAGCAAAAGAAAAGACTTGAGGAAGGAAAAGGAGAAAAATTGTTTGATGACAATTGATTCAGTAGACCAGACTGATGGAAATATACTGTATGTACTCTGATGCAGTGTATTCTGCTTTTCCCTGCATCTATTTTCTCTCTGGGATGATGTGATATCTCTCCCTCTCTCTCTCCCCCTCCCATCCACCCTCCCTCTTTTCTTTCTTTCTTTCTTTCTTTCTTTCTTTCTTTCTTTCTTTCTTTCTTCTGTTATTGAATTTAATCTTAATCTACTTTTTCGCTTCTTAGGGTAAAAGTTGGTTCCTCAGAAGCTTTTTCTGTAGCAAACATCTAGATGGTGGAGAGACAATGGGAAAGGGTTCAGAGCAGTCAAGATGGCAGCCTTGACTAAAACCCCACCTCTTTTAAAACCTGAGAGGGATAGGGTTTCAATTCATGGTCTTGACAGGCATGTTGACTTTGTTGATCCACCTATGGATGCCCATAGGAGAGTAGACTCTCAAGGTTTTACACTTCCTCTGAAGTCTTTACTCTTCTTCTTTCCAGGGAGCACCTGGTTGCAGGAAACTGTGGACATGATCCAAAATGCAGACAATCTGCAGAGATGTGCTCAAGCCCCCATCTACAAGCGGATGCCCTTTCTGGATATGTTTCCTCCAATCACCTTTCCTTCAGGTGAGCATCTGCGGCGAGAACAATGAGAATCTTTGTCAAAGCTTGCCTGAATGTTTTTTAGACTTGGACAATGTTGTTTCAGACTTGGACAATGCAGAAGCAAGGCCTTCTCCACGCTCACTCAAAAGTCATCTCCCGGTTCATCTTCTGGCTCCATCCTTTTGGGAACAAAAGTGCAAGGTCAGGACAATTGGGAGGGGTGTGTGTGGAATGGTAGGAAAGCAGCTTAATCTAAATTGAGATTCCGTGTCAGCACCTCCTTCTATTTCCTGGCTTGATGCGATGTTGGCATCAACTTTGGTATCTGTGACTTGGTCAAGAATTTATAAAATCTTGACCAAATCAATGTTCCTCCTTCAACTTTCAAAGTCTGTATGCGGTTAGGAGTTCTTCAACAATATTTGTGGATTGGCCTTTTCTTTCTTTTTCTTCTTTCTGGAACCAAACTCTATAGAGCACGGGCATTACCTCACTTTGGTGTGATAGGGAGGGGAACAGCCTGAAAATTGCTTTTGCATTCTCCCTTGTTTTCCCCTTTTCTTCAGGTAATCTATATTGCCAGGAATGTCAAGGACACTGTGGTTTCGTATTTCCATTTCCATCACATGAACAAAACCTTGCCACATCCAGGAAACTGGGAAGAGTTTCTGGATAAGTTCCTTGCTGGAAAAGGTGCGTAAAACCTGCCTGGAGAATTACAGCTAAGTCCTTGATCTATATCAGTTAGTTTAAGTGACCATTCAAAGTCATGATGGCACTGAAAAAAATTACATCACCATTTTTCACACATTGCAACATCCCCTTGGTCCCCATTGCAGAATCAAAATTCAGATGCTTGACAACTGATTCACGTTTATGACAGTTGCAGAATCGAAGGGTCAAGTGATCACTGTTTGCGACCTTCTGACAAAGTCAATGGGGAAGCCAGAATCACTTAACAACCATGGTACTTAACTTAGCAACTGCAGTGATTCACTTAACAACTGTGGCAAAAAAGGTTGTAAAAGGGGGCAAAACTCACTTAACAAATGTCTTGCCTAGCAACAGAAATGTTGGGCTGAATTATGGTCATAACTTGAGGATCGCCTGTATTTCCTCCAAACCATGCCACATTCCACAACTGAAAACCATGTTATAACCATGCAAAATAACCTGTTATCAGGATAATGAAATATCGAGAAAAAAAGGGTACAAATGTTGCTGATTTGGGGGCCATGACTGAAAAAGTTTGGAAGCTTAGAGACTCTTCAGACATGCAGATTGGGTGCTATCTTATAGTTGGATATACTAGCTTGTAGTAATTCCCTTCATTTGCATGATAGTAGAGTTCCATGGCTAGGAGGCAAATTAGCACTCTAAGATTTGCAATGGTTCATCAAAGACAAAAGGGGTCCCGGTGCAATTTGCTGACCTTCACGTTATGTGATATTGGAAGTGTTTGCTTATAAGGCATTTCAGTTCAGTTCAATTCAATTCAATCAGTATAGCGCTGGAAGAGACCTTGTGGGTCTTCTAGTCCAATCCCTTGCTCGTGACCAGGTGGGAGTGGCTTGCCAGCCATGTGACCGAGTGGGAGTGGCTTGCTGGCCATGTGACTAGGAGGGCGTAGGCAACTTGTAAAATGCGGTGAAACTCACTTAACAATGCTTTGCTTAGCAACCAAAATGTTGGCTCAGAAACTCTGGCATTTGAAGCA